GTCATGCCTTTATTTAATTCATATCAATTTATAAATATATAATTTTATTTGAGATATATTTTTGTTTTAATTTGATCTTATTTCTGTAATTGGGTATTGATTATCAATTTTTCGGGTTCATTAACAATCTATTTTTAACTACTTAAAGACGAGGTTCAATATGGACCCATGATGAAATCTGTTATATTAGCCTGAGTGAAAACCCAAAATGGCCCAATAAAAATGCCTGATAAAAGATTTTTTTAAAGCCCATTAATACGCATTGTTGGCCATTAAATGTAAAATAAAAATAATAAATAATAAATAATAAAAAAGTAAGAAATAATAATAATAAAGCTTTGAAGCCCATAATTATACAATTAAAAGAAGTTTATTTGGTCGAAAGAATCTTGCATGAAATGTGCTTGGCTATAAGGCTGCATGCTTAGAATTAAACACATGAAAAAGCTAAAAAATCGTAAAAATTGATGCAAGAACCATGCATGGGAGGAAAACTAAAAAAAAAAAAAATGAAATTGAAAAAGGTTAGAAAAAGCTAATAAAGATTTTTAAAGAGATGCTGGGGGTCGTGCAAGAGAAATGGCTGCCTAAAATTTTTTTAAAAAATTGAATAGGTTTTGGGGCTTGGACATGAAGTTAGTAATATGGGTACAGTAAAAAACTGAAAAAAAAAATTAAAAAAAAGGTTTGAGGCTTTCGTGAGAAGGATTTGGTGGCAAAGGGAGAATAACAAAAAAAAAAAAAGAAAAATTGGGGGTAGTGAATACCAGAGGGAAACAAAAAAAAAATAAAAATAAAAGAGGAGTAAGAGGGTGGCACGACTATAACAAAAGTTGAGCCGTAAGGTAGCAACAGAAAAGCAAAATCAAAAATATAAAAAGTAAAGAAAAAAATCTAAAGCAAAAAGAAAAAAAAGGTAGGCGAAAAGAAAAAGAAATAGGTGTGATCTAGTAAAAATGAAACAATAGCAGCAGCAAGAATAAAGAACCAAAGAAGAGAAAAAATAAAAAAATTGAAAAGGATTGGTGGTAGGAAATAAGGAGGAAGAAAAAGTTAGTAGAAAAAAAAATTAAACAAGAAAAAGAGAAAGGAGAACCATAAGAAGAATACCAGACCAGGTGGTATGGTTCAACAAAAAACATAAAGAAAAAAAACCAAAAAAAATAAAAGTTGAATAAGAAACAAGAAAAGTAAAAGAGAAGACAGCAAAACCAAAATGAAATTAGTAAAAAAAATATTTAAGCAAAACAAAAACTAAAAAAACAATGTACAAAAAAAGAAGACTAAAAAAATAAAAAGGTATAAGAAACAAAAAAAAAAACAACAAAAAAAAACCAACCAAAAAAAGGAAAGAAACTTGCAATATCTAAGAAGCAAAAGCTAGGTAGAAACTAAAAAAAATAAAATAAAAAAAAAGACCAGAAAATGGTGAAACCAAAAAATGGTGGTATTAGCGAGAAAAAGAGTCAGTACTAAAAAAAAGCATTTAGACAAAAAAAAGACATTGGATAGATCGACATCAGTATTGTGAGAAACTTTTTGATCCTGACAAGGTGGTTGCTAATGTACATACGAATTGAAGTTGATGAGAATTCTCGAGAATGGGCCGTTTTAAGATTTTCCATCATTTCCACTAACTTAGTATGTTGTATTTTTATATCTCGTAAGTCATGCCTATATTCCTCTTGGTTGAGTTCCAAAACTTAGATTTGTGCATCTAATTGATCTTTCATCTTTTTTAAATTGTTAGCCCAAATGAGTAAAAGATTTTTATTATGTAATGGCATGATGAATAAATAGTGATGATCTATAAATGAATGAGATGTATGAAATGAATGAAAATAGAAAAGCAAACAAATAAATAAATAAATGTGAACTTAAAGAAGTAACAAACAAGAGCAAAGTTATCATCCAATATAAAAAAAGAAAATAAAAGTTAATGCATAACTCAAAAGGTATGTGACATAATTTAGATTATTTCTACAAAAAAGAATGACATAGCTTATCTATAGGTTAAATCCATTACGACTTATTATAGATGGTTTGGGATCTTACAAGTTCTTAAATTATTCCTCACATCATTGTCCATCATACACTTAATTCAAAATTTAAATCCTCTAATAGTTTGATAAGATTGAAAAATTTTATTATTTTTTTTCAAAAAATTCATTATGAAATTCTCAAATAGTTTGGTTGAATTCATAATTTAAAAATTCCAAACCCATGAAATAAAAAATTCATAATTTAAAACTCCAATCTTTAAATTTTATTTTAAATATATATAAAAAAGTGAAATAAATTAATAAATATATAAATAAACAAAATGTGAAAATTACCTTAATGTATGGAGACACGCCTAGGTGGAAATATCCTTTGATCTATAGTGGCAGAGAGTCACCAATTCCAACCAAAACGCTTGAATATAGATTGCTATTAATCCATTTCTTGGTGGATTTTCCTTTTATTTATTTATTTTTTGTGTGGTTGATTAGTGTTTATATGAGACATTTTGCTAGGAATTTTAGGAATTTGCATTGAATGGAAAGTAGTACAGATCTAATTATATTTTGAATTATTTTTTTCTTGATTCTCTTTAAACTAGTTTAATTAATTTTTAGAATTGTCTCAATTTTTCTTAATTTTCAAAATCTCTAAAAAATTTTCAAATTAAATCTGACTTTAACTCTTTGATTTGATTTCTTTTCAACTTTCATTTAATATTTAAAAAGATTGTGTTTTAGTCTTAATTGCCAAGATCATCCTTGATTAATGCTCAAATTACTCCACAAAATTTATTAACATGATTTATGATAAAAATTTAAAATCAAATAAATAAAAAACTAAATGATAAATAAATAAAACAAACAAGATATAAAAAAATGTAAGAAATTGGACATTTGGACTTTGATTGAATCTAGGCCCAATTGATTTAAACCTCGAACTAAATAAAATGTTTACAGACAGAAACGTGAGAAGTTTCCCAACCAGCCAGTTTCCTTTCTCCATTGACATAATCTAACTACAATCATAAAATTTAAAATTAAATTAATTTTTTTGGGATAGTATCTCCTTTAGCCTCTATAGTTTAAAAATATTTTTAATGTGTTATTTGTATAAAAAAATTTAACATAGTATTTGAATTTTCATCTTATTAGCTAATATACCTCCATATAGGAATGGTAATGGATAGTAAATAAATAAATATCAGTCATTATCTGATACATTTATATCATATTCGAATAATTATAAAAGGATAATTAACAGATTTAGATAATAGATTTACTACCTGTGACGAATTTAGAATGGATATGAATAATATTCTCTGGATATTAAATATCTAAATCCATTTAAATTTTAATAAATAGTAATGGATATCAAAATCTGTATCCGTATTTATTATCCATTTACATATGTAAAATATATAAAATTTTATATTTGTAGAAGGTTTCAGGCCTTAAAAAATATTTATTATTGATTAAGAGTAAACTTGAATTTTAAATTAAATTTTATTTATTTTATATTTTGATAAAAATTTAAATAAATAAATATTTTAATAGATTCAAATATTTAAACGGATAGTACTTATTTAAATGAATTCAAATTTAAATAATGATATTAAATTTAAATTGATATTTAAATAAATTCAAATATTATAAATATTAAATAAATTTAAATACAAATATTTAAAAAATAATAAATATTCGCTCCATTACTATTCTTACCTCCACATTTAACTCTTTTATATCTCTCCATTTAATTCTATTAATGAAAGTGATTGTTGTGTTAAAAGCTCAATCAAAATAACCAAATAGCTCATAAAATCGATGCTATCTTTTAATTCATGGCATATGATTGACACATGAGACATGACATGACTGATCATCATTTGTAAAAAAAAAAAAAATATTTATTTTATTAAATAAAAATTAAAAAATAAATTTTATATATTTTTGAAAAATAAAAATAATTTTTTAAAAAAATTTATAAAATTTTAAAAAAATTTCCTTTTTGTAAGATTTTTTCATTTCTTTCTTTTTCTTTCCATTTCTTTCTCTCTTTACCATCCCATTCTCCCCTGCTTGAGGTCGAATCCATTCAATAATTGTCAAATATGGTTAGATGAGGTTGATTCGATATACGTATGACCGCAAACAACCTTGAAATCGATCAAAAAATGATCTAAAACAAGTCATCTTTTGATTTTGAGGTTGTTTTTGCTACATCGACGTCGAATGTAGCTTATCTGGTCAAATTAATTGCCTATTAGCATTTGATCCCGAGGAACGGTAGATCATAAATGGGGAGAGAGAAGAAGTTGAGGAAAGAGAAGAAAAAAAATCTTTTTTTTAATTAAAAAAACCTTTTATTTTTTTCTAAAAAAATTGTACTTATACTTTTATTTTGTTTTAAAAATCAATTCTTAAAATAGCTTTTTTAAAGTTTTTTTTAAAAAAAGGAATACTAATACATAATTACAATTATTTATTTTTCAAAAAATATATATTTTAAAATTTTTATTTTTTTCAAAAATAATTTACATAAATGATTCCATGCATCATAGACAAAGAGTGATGGATATAGAATTATTTGGTTATGTAGCAGCTTTTGATTGGTTTGTTTGATATATTAAGTTTTGTTTATCAAAAGTAAAAATTGAATAACATTAGTATAATAAAATAAAAGTTTAGTAAAAACTAAATCAGTAAGTGATTAATTTTGATTAAGATTCAATTTTTTTATGAAGAGATTTTAAATTATTTACGATTTTTAAGGATTGAATAATATATTTGTTTTAAATTTTATTTTACAAAAAAAAATTTTAAGTATGACATTAAAATTTTTTTAGTCCCCACATTTTATTAAAAATTTTCCCAAATTATATGGATAAAGGGGACGTCATCCTAATTTTTTAAAATAAAAACATATTTATTTAATTAAAATATTTAAAATAAAATCTATTTAATTATTTTAAGTTATTTACATTTTAAACCCGTGTCGGAATTTTCACTTTTTCAATTTTAAAATTTTCATATTCTCCAACGCACTCTGGATTTTTGCAAGAAAATTCAGAAATGGAAAACGAATATCAGGGTTCAAATGATAACAACGACACCATTAGCGACGTTTCAGTCGAAGTAAATCCTTCGAATTCTTCAACCAAACCACCTCCAAACCCAGACTCTCAATCCAACAATGATCTCGGCAACAGCAACAGCACAGATGCTTTAGCCAAAGCTTTATCCTCGATGCTTACTTCTCTCGTCAAAGACTTCGACTCCAAAGCCCACGACACTCTTGCCAGCCAAGACCTCCTTAGTTCCTCAATTGATCGTCTTACCCGAGGTAAATTTCCCTTCTTTTTTAACCCCCTTTTGTTTTTGTTTTTTTTTTTTCTGGGTCAAACTGAATATTAATAGAATACAAAATTGTCTGTAATGTTGTTGATGAACAGAGCTTGATCAATTACTGGAAGATGCACCGTTGCCATTCATAATGCAGCACGCTGCCAAGTTTTCTAATGTCAGAAAGAGAGTTTTGTCATTGAATTTGCTTTTGAAATCCATTCAGCGGCGTGTTGATAACATAGACCGGATGCTATCAATAGGCTTGCAACATGGTAATTAACATTTTTCTGGTTCTCTTCTTTGGATTATATAAAATCTTTGATGCTTTCCCAACAGTTTGACCAGTTCCATTTTTGAGGAATAATATATTTAGTGAGACAGGGAAATGGCCCCATGGTAGAGGGTTTTGGAATGAACAATTTTTTTTTGTGTGTGTGGTACAGAATTTTCGGTTCTTATCGTGGCTTGGGATGATAATTCTTTTAGTGTTTGAGAAGTTTTGTTGAGAGGAAAATTATGTAGCTTTAGTAATGGCAGAAATTTTGGTGCATGATTACAAGATGAATTTTCAGTGGCGGAAGCACATGTCTGTTACTTGTATAAACTATATGGAAATAGCATAATATATGTAGAACAACTGGCTTGTTTAGATTTTAGAAATTGTTTTCATACTGTGAAAAGTACCTGTAAACTTGATATCAGGCTAGAGTTGAAACTTGGCAGTTGCTTTTGTGTGGAACTGGTTAGGATTTCATAGATGACTACTCTGGGGTTTAAAGAGAATGTATTAGAGCTGGTTGTAAATCTAGAACATTGCAGAGAAATAAGAAATTAGAAGAGGAATAGTGCTGAAAGAGGATTTCCCTTGGAATCGGAATCAGAAATTAGAAACGTGATCCATTGAAACTGCAAATGTCTCGCATGAACAAAGGTGTAGGCCACTTTGTTATTTCTTTAACTTTATCGGTATCTAGCTTTAAAACTTTAGTTTGCCCAGGCTAGCTAGACCATCTACAAACTCTTTGAAAGAAATCAATTTCTTCAATTCTGGACTTTGAGTGATCATGAAGGTAAACTCTCGTTGATGGCCTAAGAAATCAATTATTCCCTAAGGTGTGCTTGATATAGGGAGCCTAACTCTGCTAAATTAGCTTAATAGGTTCCTCTACCTCATTCTGTGAAAAATTCTTTGTTAACTCTACCAAACCAGCTCAATTTGGAAAATACTTCAAGTTGTAACTTGTAACCTGTAGCTTCAATCCTTGGAACTAGGGAAATACTCATGTCTCTTAACATTTTTCTTAAGGTTGCAAATATTAATCATCAAATGGTATCCTCAATAGTGTACTATATAATCTCCACAAATCCCTAAAATAAGCTGATTATAGATAGGATAAACTCTACACCAAAGTTAATATCCAAAAAGAAAATGTTTCTCCAAATAGGACAAGCTGTTTTCTAAACCTCCACCTAAAATAAATGTTTACAAAATTTAAATTGTGGTCCTTACTATGAACTTCAGTACATTTTGCTCCTCAATATTTGTTAAGCAACAGAGTGAGTTGGTGTATCTATTATGCCAATGGTTTGGCTGTATAAGCAAACTGGTAAGAAACTTCAATTAGCATATAGACTCAGTGAAAAGGTTGAAGTAGTGATGACTAGATGAACCATCCAATCAATAAGACAGGCACTTAGAACAGTGCCTTCAGAATGGGATGCTTTTATGATTATTATTGTTAATAGTATTTGGTGTTGTTGCTGTTACTTGTTTTTTATTTGTTAAAACTACAAGCAGCTTGTGCAACTTGTTATTTTTTAGATGTCTTTCCTAATGGAAAGATGGAGCATATTTTAGAGATACTTCATTATTTATCTTCACTGTTTATTCAGCCTTTTTTTCTCTTGCTGTTCTATTGTGCTTATAACTAACAAATTTAGATGCAATCACAGAGAAGACTGCTGCAGAAGATTCCTGACAATGTAATTATTAGCTGTATATTATTGGTATGTTCTAATCCCTTAATGATTGAAACATTGGAAATGAAAACAATCCATTTGGTTGAGAAAAGTGGACATCTCTGTGATAGTTGACAGAGGTTTACACTTCTGAATCTAAAGATTAACTTTGCATAAAGCAGAAAAGATTTCTAGTACTCTGTTTTAGTTCTTCACAGCTCTAGAATGCTACATGTTTTCTTCTTTTAAATTTCTTTTGTATCAAATAAATATTATAATTTTTAAACAGGAAACTGATGTACACCAGAAACAAATAAAGGACTGGCTCACCAAAATGATATCTAGAAGATCTAACTAATAACTAATTAAATCATTTATGAGAAAGTATTGAACTGAAGTATCTTGTATTGTACATCCTCCAATTTTGGTAGTTCTTCTGAAGTGAAATAAGTGAAATTATGGAATACACGCATTTTTATTTGTATTGTTTAAACCACTCAGGCTTCAATTAGCAAGCGATTCAATCTAGTCTTGGTGTAACTAAATGAGGAGATAATTAAAGACCATAATAATGCAGAATAACAATGTTGTGGAAAATGTTTGACTGATTATATCACAGTGAAACAATCATGCTGTGTTTTGGCATTTTAGATAAGCAATTTTCAAACTTGTGCTAATTTGTTCTTATGTAGACAGCGACAAATTGGTTAAACCATTTAAGCGTTTTTAGTTTTTGGAATGAGTAATCTATAGATGGGTTTATCAGGTGTATGTGCTTCATTTTAACAGATTCTTAGCCATCAAAATATTAGTGGGGTTTAGCAATTTAAAGTATATTGTTTAAGATTTACTAAAAATATTCTAAAGGTCTCAAATTTTAAAATTTTTTGGCCAATAGGCCAGAGGTTCACTGAAGCTTTGTTCCCTACTATAAAGCTAAAATGACAGAAATTTAAACTACATGAATATTTCCAAGATGAGTGTCTTAGTTGAGCTCAAGACATTAATATGCTTAATTAGTATAAATATATGCTAAATGCTGTAGATATAGGTATATGTTGGATAATGTTGATGTTAGTACCTAATCAACCTCACCTTCCAGTCTAAATATAGTGTAGTAATTTCATCTTTTCACTACAAAATAGAGCCCTCATTTTTCCATTTTTTTAATTCAATGTAATTGATGTTTTTTAGGCAACTGTGAAGGGAAATGTTAGGTTGGGGCTCAAAGTTTCCTAACATTTTGGATGAAATGTTTGTGAAGGTTTGTTATGAAATGCCCGGGAATTTTTTATAAAATGGAAAATGGTAGACATGTCATGGTTTTCATGAAAAGGTCAATAAGAGTAATGCATTCTCATTTTTGCAAGGTTGTTTAGTTGAGAAGGGTAAACCGTTCACTTAATGAGTTGGATTTGTTACTCTCTAATCTGTTCCATTCGAATATCTTTGTCATGCATCAAACACTTATTAGAGTTAGGAAGTAGGAACACAAGAAATGAATAGAGTATGCATCTAAACCTTGAAAGTATGAAATGGCTAACTAGATTTCAGGTTTTCTGGCCCAAAGGTGTCTGTGGTGTTTCTTGCATTCCCTCAAGTGCCTGTGCATTTGCTTGAATGTCAAAGCATGTTGGGCTTTTTAGCAGCAAGTGAGCAGGCTGGAATTTTTCATGCACGTCTCTCTGACAATATGGAGAATAGACCAGCAATTGGCTGACAAGAGAGTGGATGTATGATTTTACTTTATGCGAGTCTTACCATTCTCAGTCAGTTGATTTAAACTTAAGCAATGAGTGGTGAGAAACTTGATGGTGGAAGCTGACAAAAGCTTTTGTAACGTTTCAAGTTTTGTAGTATGATGGGTGTGGCTGCATGACAAACCGACGCAAAAAAAAGTCTCGTAACGAGTATATCATCCCAGCTAGGTTACTGAAAATATAAGCAGTAAAAGCCTAAAACATCACTCAGAACCCAGAAAATGCATCACCATTGCTGATAGGTTAAGTAGGTGGGACACGGTCTGTGGTTGGAAATCTAGGAGTCGTCTTTGCTAGTGCCTTGATGTGCGGAATATTCACATTGGACAGTGGAAACTTGGGTTCATAACGGGGGATATCTAGAGAAGCTAGTAATACATATGTAGCATCAAATCCAACAGAAATTGCTTTCACATGTATCCTAATTACTAGTATGGAAAATGAATATATGTTGAGAACTTGTATGCTAGTAGTCTAACATCTAAATTTTAATATATATATATATATATATCACAGCAATAATTGAGGAAATATACATACAAAATTACACAGCGAAACTGCATCCTGCTCAAAAAAAAAAAAAAAAAAATCATTTGAAAATTCTAGGTTCCCTCGAATATTCCTTCGTATGCTAACTTACACAGCATTTACCTTCCAAGGATACTAGTTCCACAAAGCCAAGCTTAGAGACATTAGAGCTCTCTGAATGCAATCTTAAAGCTGCAGTCTATAATTTCCTATTTTCATACCATTAGGTATTTAACCATTCAAATTGCTGCAATGCAAAAATGAACTTCGTTTTGGGGAAGTTGGTTACCTCTACAAACTGCCGGCTTCATGGAACCAATTTTACCACGACAAGCGATGGATCTACCTTCATTCTCAGGCCTTTTCCATATTCAGCGATAAGAAGAGCCTCAGCCCTTCCCTAAAAGTTCAAAACAAAACAGAAGCCTAAGAGAAAATAATCAAGTCAAATGACAATGAGATAAGATTATAAATAAAATGAGGGAAACCGCGCATAAAATCAAACTTTATCTTCCAATCTCATGTCAAAACTCAAAATCCACAATTTGAAAGATCCAATTGCTAAGAGTAGTGATTAGTAAGGAGCATGTGATCCATAATGCACACTGCATGAATCACTGAAGATGTTTGTCGGCAGCATATTTATGATCATCAGTTTTTAGTACTTCTGCAGGCTGCATTTCTCGGTAGTAAAACAGTGGGAATGGTCGGTCACCAGATTCTAAGACCTATATACAGAAGGGCTTTGAAACTACTTAATTTGTTGGTTTCTGCTCGTGTGCAAGACTCTGTAAGGATGAAAAAGCAACCGTATCACCTAACTGGCTAACTTCATGACCTCCAGAATTTGAATAGGCATAAAAAAAATATATCAGTTCAAAGGTCAGCATGCTAATTTGTCAAGGCTCGAAGTTAGCATAGGCACAAAGGGTTGCCAAGTAGCGTCAACCAACAAGATGATACATGATAAGAGACGGTTTTATCCTGGCAAGTTGATCGGGAACAAAAAAAGAACCACATAGCTTCAGCTATTAAGACCTTATATGCAATTTTCTATTAAAAAAATGAGACTAATGTCTATTGGAAGTAAAGGGGTAAGAAAAATAAACATATGTCCCGGAACTGGTTCTACAATAAAGCAGATGGCAGGAAATTTTTGGGAATGCAAATGGTGATTCTATACTGTTAAGTGATAACAATAATGAATAGAGATTAGAATGCTATATCTTTGGAAGCCAGAACACATACCATGATCCTTTTCCCTTTATCACTCAATGAGGGAAATATAGTTGATGCAATTCTCCGACTATCATCCTGTCAAAAACCAGAACGATAATAATAAAGGAAACTTGTAAAAATCACAATTGAGGCAGCACCAATAGCTTAAACTAACGCTGTAAAACTTAAAGACACATTCCTGCATGCAATGATTAAAACTGATGCCCATGGAGAGAAAAACTTAAAAAAAGCTCGCTTATTTATTTAGACCCACAGCTACAGCTCCTGTTGCCTTAAGCACGTGAGAGTCAAGGTCCCATGATTCTCCATCTTACCAATCAAAGAAGAGGACAAGGATATGCGAGGAATGACACAGAAAATACCATTTTTTTAACCTTACTTGAAAATAGTGGAGTCATTGCCAACACAAAAGGTTTATGTCAAATAATGTGACTCCAATTTATTTTCCATAAATCATTAATCCAAAGTCATTAGTATAGAGTATGGTGTCGTGATGGGCATCAAATTGTCACCTAGCCTGGTTATACAGACTCTTCCTTACTGAAGGAAATTCGTAATTGAATTGCAATAATAAAATTTCTTCTACTTTTAGGTAAAATGTCAAGTTAATGAAAAGTTTCAGATTTAAACTCATTTAGAAAAGCGATCCAATTGACTTCGTTCACATCAATTGTCTGCACTTGCTACGAGAATCTAAATGCATGTAGAGTGTTGAGTGATGTTATAGGTATAATATGTTAACATCAATGAACTACTGTTTCAGTTGCAAATTCCAAAACTGAGAAACAACTCCACGGCCCACCCCCCCTCTTCACCAAAGAAAAACAAGAGAGAAAAAAAAAAAAGGCTAAAAGTGCAATCAGCTTGGCATTTCAATTTAAAGGCAATAAACTGCAATTTAAGTAGAATGACTCGACTGATTTCTGCATCCATCTACCAAAATTGAAGCACACACACGTACCTGCACTCTCTTTTCCTTGCCACAGCTCTCTTACCCACAATTTACTTCACTTCTATGCATGCATAAATGCACTGTTTACCTTGTTTATCTCCAATTATAATTTGGTTAATAGGCATGAATCAATCATTAAATAATAACACTAATATACCAACCTTTGTAGAGCCAGCTCCAGTGAGTTCAAACTCTTTCTTCCACAACAAAGATGACACTGGAACTACAAAAAACCCTGAGGCAACTAGTATCCCGATCCATAATCCATACCCAAATCCTCCACTCCACCAGCCCGAAATTAGGAAATAAGAACATAATCTCAGCAAGAACTATTAAACTCTTGGAACAATTGATCCGGCATATCTTTTGCTACTGATGAATGTATGAGAATACAGAAGTAAAGATGCTAAAAAAAGTCCACAAAGGGACACCAAAACAGTTAGATCTAGAGATTTCCACATGAAGTTCAAGATTAATAGGCCTCCATATGTATGTAAAGTAAAAATAACTTACAAAACATTTAAGGCAACAGAATGTTTAGATGGGGCAGAGATAGCACCAATAAAAAGCCTAGAGCAACAAATTAGAGTTGCAAAAGAAAGGGACAAATAACAGCAGTGATGATGATGATGGAGCCAGGAATAATAAGACAATGATTAATAGCAGTAACAGCGCTGACTGTTTCCTATCTTTTGGAAAGGGGATAGATTGCTTTATATATGCAACATTACCTGAAGTCAGGCAAGCTCAATCAACGCAGAAGTAAATAAGTGGAGTTGAAACTAAAATTTCAACCTTGTATTTGCACGCATAGCAAATCATGATCATACAAAGAGAAAGAACCATAGAAGTATACCAATTGGAGCCTCTAAACTTCGAACCAATCGAACAATAGTCCTGGCATCTAAACGTTTTCGAACTCTGTTGCCAACTCGAACAGGCAAATGCGGCGAATCAAATACCTACTATCATACAATTTAATATAAGAAAATCCATGTCTAGCCCATTGCAGAATGTTTATTACCCAATTAACTTTAAGTAATTCATACATTTCCTTTTCCAATAACTCGAGATAAAGAAAAAAAGGATAAATTCTTTTTTAAAGAAAAAGTGATAGTTTCGTTAGTAAAATGTACCTGGGCAGAGCAACCGGAGGAGTCAGTTTTTAAGAGGGCCAGGGCACCAAAGAGGTGAGGGTCAATACCAGTGACCCAGTTGGAGTCCGCATTGGTCAAGGGATACTCTCCGGCGTCAGGGAAAGGGCAAGACAGGGAGTCCAACCAACCCTCCTTAGGGAGCAGCTTGCAGAAACCCTTCTGCTTGACGATGGTGGATGGTGGATGGTGGTTAGGAGTGTGAATGAGTAATGAATTGTTTGTGATTATGTTTTATTTTTATTTATTTATAATGGTTTATTAAATTTAACAAATAATTTTGAATAATATTTTTATTTTAATTTATTGAATGAATTAAACACAAAAATTTATTTGATTTATTTATATTCGTAAATAAATTTATTTAAAATTCTTTTAAAATGTTTGTTTATTATTCGTTTATAATAATATTAATAAAATTATATTTTTATCTTTTATTTTAATTTTATTTTAAAATTCATATATATTTATTTATAGTTTGTTTATTTAAAGTTGTTTGATTATAATTTATTTATTATTCATAAATATATTTATTTATATATGTTCGTAAATATGTTCATTTAATATTCATAAATGAATTTATTTAATTTAATTAAATGAATACGAATTTAGTACGAATAATTTATTATTTAAATAAATGAATATGAATTAACAGAGTAATTTTTTTAATAAATATGAATCGAACATTAATATCTTTAAAAATAAATAAATATAAATAAACAAAAAATCGAATTTGTTTATAAATTGTTTATCAAATATTTTATTAATTTTCTCAAATGAATTAAACATGAATAAATTTTGTTATTTTTGTGATTTACTTATTTAATGAACTAATCTTAAAATATTGTTTATAATTGTTTATTGAATTTAATAAATAAATATAAATCAAACATATTTATAATTTATTCATTACACATTCTTTTTGTTTACAGTTATAATGAAATATATCATGATCAGGTTTTCAGGTTGAGTGATATCAAATTACCGGATTTAATTATTGATTTAAACCATTTTTCAAACACGATCAAGCTCCGTGACTCAAGTGCTAGACGTAATAATCAAATCCAGGACGTTTCATTTCCATAGCAACCATTAGCATGATTCCAAAGGTATAAATCAAGATAAAAATACTAGCCAGTAACATTCTTTTCCTCTAGTTTCTACTTAAACTTTCACAAATTGTCTACAAATTACAAAGTCAGGCATCTTGAGGCAGCTGAATATGCTCCAAGACAACAATTGTGTTGACATCTTGGATCATTCGCAAAACAACAACGTTTTGGCCAATGATTGCAGAACAACAACGTTTTGGTCAATGATGCATCTAAAATTTTTTTCGTTCTATATGAAAAAAAAAAAATAACAGTGTTGATAGATTTAGTAATTTTATTAATAAAAAAGTTATTCAAATGAAAATTTTGAGGTGTTTGGAATTTTTTTAATTTTTTGATTTTTAATAATGTTCAAAAGAAAATTTTAAAAAATATAATAAAAAATTCTCTTTACTTTTTTTATTTTTATTTTTCAATTTTCGAAGATATCGCCCCTAGTTTTGGCATAGTTCTTTACAGTTCTATTCAGACACGAAAATAATAAACTATTAGTCACACCGACAACATCTTGACAATGAACAAGTTTTGCCCTTCTGAATGTAATCTCGAGTATTGGCAGTAAGCTGTTGGAATCACATAGGTCGGACATGAACCTCGAATTTCTCCTCAATATCTTTACTAATAGCCAGGTAAGCTTAGAAGAATAATTTGGAAGCCGTTGACCCAGGTTTTTTTTTTTCTTTTTAATAAAAGAGATCCTAGTTTGAAAAAGCAAATAAATGAGGTAAGCTTCGGGGCTTTTATACATGTCAAGTTGGGGTTTCGCTTCAATTCAGGAGCAAGAAATTCGGTTCAGTTTTTAAAATCTGTTTTCCAAGCTAGCTAACAATCTCGAAATTGATAAGCAGCCAAGGTTTCTGCAGGGTGGAAACTATGGGTATAACAACTCAGTCGCCAAATGATCTTTTCTATATCAGTGCCCGGGCCAGTCCAAGGAGAATCAGCCTGGAAGGTTAGTGTTTCTTTAGTGTCCCAACCAGTACCAATAAATAGATATTGACGATTGTAGTATAAAGGGAGACGGGGACTAAGAAAAGATCGCAGACTCTCCACCCCCTTCTAGTCATCTTCTTCTTTCTCTTTTGTATATTTCTTTCACACCTCTATCTTTTATTTTTCTTGTAATTAGTATAAGAGCCTTGTAAAGAACTTTATTTATTATAATTTGTAAAAATCAGTGTTGATATATATATACATATATATATCAGTTGATATTTTCAGTTTTCAGCTATTTTTTCTAAGTATTTTTTTTTATTTTCTCAACTTTTAATTTTTAGTTTTATATTCTAAAACCAGTTTATATTTTCTGTTTTCAACTATTTTTGTAAGTATTTTTCTACTTTCTCAATTTTTAATTTTTAGTTTTATATTTTAAAAATCATATATCTGTTTATTATATTTGTACTAATATTGTGGCTTTATTATTACCTTTTAATCTAACTTTAAAGATCTTGATATGGTATACAAACGATTTTAGGTACTAGGAACATGAAGTAAGAAATTGAAAATTGTGTTTATTCAAAAAAATTTCATAATCATAGTCTGTACGTGGATCCTCAATTAAAAAATCATATACTGATAATAAACTATAATATTAATAGTTTAGTTGATTTATCTATTATTTTTCTTTAAAAATTATTTAATAAAGTTGATATACTATAATAAAATATAGATAATTTAGGATAAATTACTAATTTATATTTAAACCAATATTCTTAAACAATTATTAATAAATATTAATAAAAAATTAAAATTATCAGAAGTTGATAAAAGTCAAACAAATGACTTTGGATCGTTATATTATGATAATGTTATCCTTATGCTTAATGAAAATAAAGCATCATCTTCTCAACTAATTTTGTTTTTTAAAATAGAAAAATTAGATTTTAAATCTATAAAAGTCTTATAGAACATTTTAAGTATAAAATAAAAAATATATATTATTTATAAAGAAATAATTGATTATTTAAATATGATAGAAGAGCCATATGAGACACATATAGAACATTTTAAAAAATTTAATTATCATTATATGCTTAATTATAATATTACCAATGAAAGTAGCTCAGGCGAAGAAGATAAAAAAGATAAAATTTTAACTATTAATCCAATAATAAAATATGAAACTAGTAGTACAAAATTCTTCATCTTCTGAAGAAGTAGACGAAGAGATCAATATTAAGCCTACAGTTATAGATCTTGATCAACAAAAAGTTGATAAGAAAATAAGAAAAGTATGAGAAATTTCTAACCAAAAAATTGATGATAAAAATAGGTATGAAAATAGAATAAAAAATGATATTTATAAAGATGAAATAAAACAAACAGAAACATCTTCTGGAATTATTATAGAACCTATACCACAATCAAGCTATATAAAATCTTTAAATAAAAAAACTATAGCTCACGAGAGGAACATATTTAGACATTTCAAAAATCTCTATAAATGATTATGAAAAAACCATAGATGATTGGATGCAATCTATGACTATTGTAGTAAACGACTACAAAGACACCTAGTCTAAAGAAAAAATTTTAAATTATATTTGTGGAACATTTCAAGAAATGTTTTGCAATTTTTATGTAAATGGGAAAACTTCGAAGCATGAAGAGTTCAAAAAGAAACTTTTTTTAAATCAAATTACAAATACATCAAATTTATTAAAAAAAACTTTATAAATCTACTAAAAAATAAATTTTATGGAAGAATTGAACCAGCTAATCAAAACAGTGAAGCTAGTTATGTGTTAACTAAGATAAAATTATGTGATATAAGATATTTAGAAGAATTTTCTAAAAATATATTCATGAATACCAAAAATTGGATGAATCACATTCAAAATTTTGGAAAGAACAATGTTTTCATAAACTACCATCACCTTGGGATGAACTCTATAATCAATAGTATCCCAAATATTTAGAACTTCACAATCCTACATCAGAAAATAAAGACTATTTAGATTTTATAAGAAATAGAATTTATTTTGCTTCTAAACAAATCATATAAATTGCCTTAAAATAAAGGCTGCTAAGCAAATTAAAAGTAGATTAAGTGATAAACAATGCATAAAAATATTAGAAAATAAATGGGAATTTGGATGTAAATATCAATCTAAAACCTATTCTAAAAAATACAAAAAAGAAAAGAAGATACAAATTGATCAAATGAAAGCCAAAAAAGCATAAATTTGACAAAAAGAAAAAATTTGTTAAAAGAAATACTTCTAAAAATAATCCAAATGTAAATGTTTCATTTGTAATGAAGAAGGTCATATAGCACTTTAATGTCCTAATAAAGAAAAAAAATGCTAAGAAAGTTATTAAAACTCTTGAAGAATAAGATTTAAAAATTTTTTTGGAGAAAGAAGTTTTTGAAGAAAAAAATATTTAAGAATTAATTTTTGAAACAGATTTTGATTCAGATGAAGATAAGTATATTTTCATGCTCAATCTAGTAATAATCCTATATTAGAAGCTAATAATCAACTTAGCTTTGAAACTAGAGATATACCTATTGAAGAACAGCAGATGACTAAATTAAGTGATGTCTTATGATAAGATGTTACTATTTCAGATTAACTATTAGAAAAATTACAATCATTAAAGAAAAAAAATATATAAATATAAACTATCTATCTTTTAAAATTCAAACCATGGACACAAAAAACATATATAAAAGTTTAGTGAAAATACCATAGCTACTAATTCTGATCAAGGATCTATAGATATTCTTTTATTTACTAAAGAAAATATCAAGAGAATTAAATAAAAATATCCTAAAGTTAGATATATACATTTAAGAATAATTATGATAACTATAAAAGCATTATTTAAAGTTGATAATGATATACTAATAATAATAGTATTAGTAGATAAAAGATTTGAAAATCTTATTAAAGTACTAATAGGAGGAATATAATCAAATTTTGTATCAGGCGTTGTTTGGTTTAAAGTAAAACCAAACTATTTTATTTTTGTTAATGACTCATTAATAGAATATTGTCTTAGACTTAGAATAATGACAAAAAAGTCAAAAATTAGAAATATGGCTCATAATCTGTCTATAAACTGGACAACTATTAATAAATTTAGTAATCATACTTTTACATCTATTAAAGAAAGAAATTCTAATATTATAGAAATATTTGAACCAAAATCTTTTGATTCAAAAATCAAACCAAGATTAATGAATCTTAAAAATCATCAGTACCTACTAGATGGCTATTGGAAGGTATTACAAAACTTGTTCCTTTTAATAAAAAAATGAAACTTATGAAATTTTTTGCATCGCGAAATAACTTGTATTTTAAAAATCAAGAAGAAAGTAGTTCTATTAACAATCTAGTTCTACCACCACCCTCTTTTATACCTTTATTCTCAAATAAAGATAATGAAGACACTGAAAGTATTGTTAGTGAACAATCATTTGTTTCACATAGGTAATCTTTTCTTTCTCAACCTCAATTAATTGATACAAAAAATATAAATATTCTTATTTTTTATGAGATACAAGAAGTCATAATCAAGAAAATTTGATTTACAACTCGTTAAACTCAATTTTAAATTCAATTTTTTCTAGAAATACTAGAATAGATAATATTTGAAATTTGGCTATAATCAACCAATATAAAATTGGTAATGATGAAGTAATTATATTTTCAAAAAATCAACCAAAAAGATATTACAATTATGTTAAAGCAGAATTTAATTTTAAACAATATAAACCATATTCTTTAAATATAGTAATAGACATCGGAGCAACTATATGTAGTTGTAGAAGTAATACTTTACCATTATAAAAATAGGAGCCAATGAAACACCTTATAGCAGTAATAGAAATCAATGAAAAGAAACTATAACAAGATATAAAGCAAAAAGTGTTTCTATTTATTTAATGAATAAAAAATTTATAATCCCAAAAATTTTATGTTTTCCTTTTATGTATGGTGAAATGTTATTAGGAAATAATTTTATATACAACTATTTACCTTTCTGTTTGAATATCAATAATATTGTTTTTACTATAGATAAAGAATCTATAGAAATACTATTAATAAAAAATCATAAACATATATGTAACTTTGATTTCTAACTTGAAACCAAGAAAATGGAAATTAAATCAATTAGTGAAAAACACTGATTATATAAAATTTTAGAGGAAAATTTTAATGAGGAATCATTAAAATTATGGTCTAAAACTTCTAGACTCCATAGTTTAAAATTTCTTGATTCAAAGAAAATAATTAGAGTAAAATCAATGATCTAAACTAAACAAAATATAGATGAATTTAATATACAAATTAATGAACTTTTACAAAAAGGACTTATAGAAACCATTACTAGTCCATTTTCAAGCTTAGCATTTATGGTAAGAAATCATGCTGAACAAGAAAGAGAAAAAGCGAGAATGGCAATTAAGTATAAAAGGCTTAATCAAAATTTAATATTTGATAGATACCTTATTCTTAAAAAAGATGTATTAATAAATTTAGCAAAGAATGCTAAATATTTTAATAAATTTGATTGTAAATCAAGATTTTGGCAAATAATGCTAACCGAAAAGTCAAAATCCTTGACAGCTTTTAATGCACCAAAAGGTTATTATCAATGAAAAACCATGCCTTTTGGACATTGTAATGCTTCACAAATCTTCCAAAGATGGATGAACACAATTTTTGGAAAATATAAAGATTTTTGTGTGGTATATATTGATAATATACTTATATTTTCTGAAATATTAAATGAGTATAGGAAACACCTAAATCTTATAGCTCAAGAATTTATAAAATATGGTATAATATTTAGCCCTAAAAAGATAAAGCTTGAACAACCTAATATAGAATTTTTAGGATTAAATTTATCTTTTGAAGGTTTTACTTTACAAGATCATATTATAGTAAAAATCAAAGAATTTTCAAAACAACTAGAAGATAAAAAAACAACTTCAAAGCTTTCTAGATCTTCTTAATTATGGAAGACAATTCATTAAAAATCTTTTTAAAAAGAGAAAGTTTTATAAGAAAAACTAAAAAAAATATACATTTTTTTTGGACAAAAGATGATTATAATATTATTAAAAAATTAAATCAGATTTTAAATTTATACCTAAAGTATATTTTTTAAATCAAAAGAATCACTTATTCTTGAAATATATGCTTTAGACCAACGTTGGGATGTGTACTTAAATCAAAGGTACATAATAAAAAATTAATTTATGGTTATAATTCAGGAAAATTTAAACCAAATATATTATATTTGAAAAAGAGTTACTTGCTATAAAAAATATTGTAACTAGATTTCATATTTATCTAGCACCTAAAGTTTGGAAAGCCCAACTTTAAGGAAGCAAATAAGCTTTTAGAAAAAATATGACTAAGCTTGCGAAAGGATTAACCAAATAGGTTAATAAATTTCAAACTTTTAAAAATCTTGTTTTAAATAGCTAAATTTTAAGATACTTGGAAAAACCACAAAATTTTGAACTTGATGTAAAAGAATACTCCCTTGAAGAGATAAACAATCTCTTAAATATTTATAATTTTCTTATAAAAGAAAAACAATTTCTTCTTCTCTTTTAAAAATAAAAAAAAATTATTTTATATGAAGAGGCTAACAAAGCCTTAACTAGTGAACTTTTTTATAAAATTAAATATTCTATAAGAGATTAAGCATATCATCCACATATTTTTTATTTATTTATTTAAGAAATCATGAAATTTCGGAAGGATTTCTTAAAATTAAATTTAGATTAAATCATAACCCTTATAATATAATTAGGATCGAGATGTGTTTGTAGGAATAATTACTTTCCAAAATTTACCTTTTCATTTAATAAGGCATTTTCTTGCCTTTATCAAATCAAATTTTTTTTATTTTGTTCAAAATGATGAATATTTTTCTTATGTACATATTAAAATAATTAGTTTAATAGAACTCTTTCAAAGAGAAAGATTTTTTCAACTTATCAAATTTAGGAGGTGAAAAAAGTGCTTTATTAACCAGATTTATTAGCACCTAATGAAAATGAAGAAAATATAAAATTTGCTCTTTCACAATTTAATAGAGCAGATTTATATAATTTCAAAGTAAAAATCACCATGATAGAAAATGTAAAAGAATTATTAAATAGAATTTCATCAAATTTACAGACTCCTTATATCACTGCTACAACATATGATAAAATAATTTTTATGAAAAAATCTTATGATAAAAACAATCTACAACCAAATCCTCAGGTGGTCGAACTTCTAGAAAACAATCTAGAATGAAAGATCTATATTACTCTCTTTCTTTATTATTTCAGTATCAAGAAATATAGGAACGATGAAACAAATCAAAAATAATTTCACTAGCATCCTTTAATCCAAAAAATAAAAAAGCTATAAATTTAGCAAATCAACAAGATAAATAAAGAATATAAATAAAAAATAGTAGATTGTCAAACAGTTAGTCTACAATCAGACCAGTCATGAACAAGAAAAAAACAAGTCAACACTTACTATTAAAATGACTTACATGTATAATTGTCAAAGATTTTATCACCTAATTTAATAGCTGTTGACAATTTGTTGCCTAGTCTAATTAAGAGATATTGACAATTGTATTATAAAGGGCGATGGGGATTAAGAAAAGATCTAGTCTCTCCTAACCCTTCTAGTCATCTTCTTCCTCTTTGTCTCTGGTGTATTTCCTTCACACCTCTTATCTTTTATTTTTCACTAGTATATTTCTTTCACACCAAAAACTTGTGAAGATTCAAGTTCCAATATTGATGAGTTCCAGTTTCAAACTAGTCATCGTTTCAATGTTGACGAATATGAAGTTGAATCGGAGCAGAAGCCTGTGTCCCAATCGGAGGGTCCGCGCCATGGTCGTATGGAATCACTTCCTGACATAGCATTTGCTGATGAACTATTTTCTGATGGGAAAGTCATGCCTTTGAAGCCTCCACCACGACTTCAATATCCCAATGACAAGAAGTTCGATAAACAAAGCTCAACTTTATTATCCCCTAGGTCGCTAACTGGTGTCCTAAGACTTCCATTTCGACGTCGGAGCTTGTGGAAGGATGATTTTGATCCGTTCATGGTGGCTTTGGAGAATGTCAAGGAAGAAAAAGGTGGGAAATCTCTAGCAAAAATCATAGACGGCTTGGTCCATGTCACCATTTAGGAAGGAGATAAGCCTAAAGGGAACCAATGACTTGTCAGGCTCAAGCCAGCAGCAAATTAATCAAATGGATCCTATATAACCAACGCAACAATAATAGCCCAACTTAAACAGGAGGATGGAGAGTAATGAATCGATCTTTTTGATGTGGGTTCCAAACCAAAACAGGCTGATGGGTTGTCAAGAACATGTGAAACAAGCCAACAAAAGCCCAAAAAAGTCGGCAAAACCAAAAGGAGTTCTTTTTGTAAGACGATCTGGGCTTGTAAAAGTGGGACGGGAAAAACCAAGAAGACCCAGTTTAATCACTCCAACAGTGGATGCAGGAGAAAGTCCAAAAGAAAGTGGAGTAACTTTGTACAAATGAAATCCAGAGCCTGAAAATCAAGAGCTTCCTATTCAAGAGTGGATCCGTGAGAAAACAAAGCAGTGAGGACAAGCCTAAAAGTTCAAATGCAACAGAGTCAAGGCCTAACTTTACAGGGAAATTTAGCTTGAAGTCCATGGGATTAACCCAATACAATGAGGAAAAGAGGGCGTCTGAAGTCACCAGAAGGACACGCATACAATATAGACCAAAGTTGCTGCTCTGTATGGGTTATGGGGCAAGAGATGTGCAGTAAAAAGGTCACCAATTGCACATTGAGGTTATAATTTGCCCAAGAAATCAGTCCTTGGATGTTTGTGTGAGTCTGTGTTGCGAGGAGTGGTGCTTGATCTCTTGATGTAATTGTAAAGGCTGGCTAGAGTAACTGCTGCTGGTCCTTCATCTGAGAAAGAAGCAAATCAGCTACGAAGTTGGGTTTTTGTTTGGTAAATATCAATGTGGCGTGTCCTTTTCGAGTTTTTTTTTTTTTTTTTTGGTTATCACAATAGTAGGTTGGGACCATATTAACCCTAAAGAAAATTAATTCTGGACATAAGTTAAAAAAGGTTACTCATAATAAATTTTTAACTAAAAAAATCATGCTCAAGGTGTCTTTTTCTTTAAATAATTCAGGTACTCCTAAAAAAAGAACATAATACTTCAAAATATTTTAAAGGCTGTAAAAAGAAGAGATAATTTACAATTTCAGAGGTCTACAAGATATAGTTCATGTTCCATAAAGTTGAGACATTCTCTGTTTCCTTAAATAATAGGATACATTTCAATAATCAATGGCCTTCCAAATGATTTTCAACAAAAACTTTAAATAATTGGGGGATATGTAATGTAAATAGAGGGATTTTACATGAACTCGACTCCACATTCATGCAACTTAGAAGTTGAATTTCAATTTGCAGGAGCATCATTTATAGAGCCATTTGCTTAGTTGGAAGGAAAATAGAGAATTTGTATTGAAATCATGGTGACATTAGCATGCATGTTTTATGCATAAGGCTATTCCAGGGCTTCAGATGGCCAGAGCCGCTTCCATGTAGAAATCTCGTCCTCACTGCTGAGTTTTCTGATTCCTCCATAAAATCCATCTGCCTCATCTCCCTCCTCTCGATGTTCTTTCCTATTGATTGTTGTGCGCCTCCACCTTGAGTCAGGGGTGTACTGATTGAACTCTAACACCACTGTGTCTGTTAGCATCCCTAAGATGTTAGAAACTAGGCAATAACTCAAACATCAATTATGATGCAAGATTTTAACCCAGTCCATTCAACTGAATACCAATAATTAAAGCTTTTATTCCAACCACATCTTTCATTTTAAAGTTTGTTCCACCATAAATGGCAAAAAAGTAAACAATGAATTAAGAAAATTTCCAGAAATCCGAAAGCTAAGTTATAAGATAATGGAGGAAAGAGGAAACACATCAACTTCATCTTTTGAACAATGAAAGAAAGACTTTACTCAGTTGAAAACTGACAAGTGCACAATCATAAGACCAAGATGCTTTTGCAATTATATATTGAGGAATTCTTGTCTGCTTAAAGAATCTTTATCCATTGATTGCAAACAAATGTACCGCTCTCTGCTTTCTCAAATTACAAATGATTACCAAAAGAGACCCTTTCTTTCTTTTATTGTGAGGAAGAGGACAGGAAATTAGGTTGATTTAACTTGACTAGTGGGGCATTTCAGCTCTGTTGGTATCCAAACTTGTGGAAAAAGACAGAAAATAAATGAAAATTTAGAAGTGTAGAACAACCATTGCAGCCCCACATAGCTGACAGATTTCAAATAAGCAAACAAAGAGAGTCCATAGGAGACATGGGGTTCTCTCAGTGTGATTGGCCATAAAATATTCTGCTGAGATGGAACTTATCTCAATGCTGGTGGAAATTATGACATAATGACAGTGATCTGTCTTTGGGGACCAACCCAACAGCACAATCTGTGGTCCATGCATTGGAAGATTGAGGCTCATGAAAACCACCTACCCTAAGCCGGGTGCCCTCCATGAAAGTTAACTTTACATTCATCTCATCCACAATTTGCTCATGTCTTCTTTCAAAAATATTAAACATAAGTAGCAATATTTGAAACAACTCCCGTGGTCTCACTCTCTCTCTCACAGTCAATTTCTTCAAAACAAGAGTAGATTTTCCATTTTCTAATGGCATCTAGATGCAGCAGATATGCCCATGAAGGTAGATAAAATGAGATGCTTGCAGTACGAAAGATTCCCATTTTCTAGGCAATCCTATGGAACATAATAGAGTGCCATTTGAAAGAAGAAAACATGAGATCAACTTACCACTATTATGGCACCGGCAGTAATTTTCATTCCCATCACATGATTCCAAGTGACCAACTACACCATACCACCAACCTGCAATATATATCGCAATCGTATCAGGAATAGACTCATTACAAAATGATTAATATGGATTAGTTAAAAGTAATCTGTTGGCATACCAATTGCATTATAAAATGATTTCAACAATACTTAATTAAGATTTTTTTTTTATATACACAAAAGTTTAGGGTAGGGGACGCTTCTCCGGTCCAACTAGAGCGGACTGTAAGCCTAAGAGAGGACTTACATGGGTTTTACAGATCATCCACGCAATGGGAATCAAAACTAAGCCTTACAAGTGAAGAATTCAATACTTACCAATTCAATCAACTCCCATTGGCAACTAAGAATTCTTTTTATAAAAAGTAGTCTGCTGCGTAATTCTTAGTAAAAGCAGAATATTTTTCTTCTACAATTAAAAGCTTTCCTCAACTCATCAAAGAAATTAAAATGTGTTTGGTGCATAAAATTATAATAAGATAGAATAAGATGATATTATGAATAAGATTATATTAAATAATGTCAATCTAGATTGTGTTTGATGTGTGCAAGGATTAGGATTTGATAATTTCATTTATTGGTCAAAATTATCCTTCCTCAAAATTTATATAATTTAAATTATTGATGTAATTTTAAGGGTATAATAAGACATATAAGTTAAATCCCATGGATTAAAAATAATCCTCTCCACTTTGGGAGAATTAAATTATCCTATGCCAAGAGGATGATTAATCCTCCTTGCAATCCTATCTCTTTTTTTAGATATAAACCAAATATGACATAAGATGATTATCATCCTATCCTATCTATCATCCTATGCACCAAACATGACCTAAAGATTATACTGGGAATCACCAGCCTTTTGTGAAAGTCCATAATGGTATCACTAAGGGTGAACATGTGTATAGAGAAAGCAAAGTAAAACTTCTGAAATACTGCAAGGGATTGGTATGAAGAACAAACCATAAGGAAATTCTTTGTTTCTTCTCCATTGAATTTCAATGTTATTGCCTGGGCGTAGCTCATTCAAACAATCAGAAATATGAAGATCATGTGGTGAAGCATCAACAGGTGGTGCTCTTAGCCTTTCCCACGGCACGCTATTCTCTATGGCCACTGCCCTCCTTCCATGTGGAGGGTACCTGAAATTATCAAACCAATCTAATATCAATCCATCAGATTAATTCCCAAGCATTGATGTTGAAACTAATTTCATCTTCCAGGATACAGTATGAAAAAATTTCAAAACCCAAATAACAACATCAAGATTATGTTCATCTCCCAATTTACCTGGCTTGGAAGGTGTCAGTACGGGGATCGTAACTGAGTTCTGCATCATAGCACGACAACATAAACCCAACATGGCCATTCTACAAAAGAGCAGAACAAAGGATTTTGAGTCGAAACAAAATTAGAAAAAAAAAAAAAAAAGCATAGCATTTGCTGATTGTAATGGAACTACCATAAATGTAAAGCCGGGTTAACAGCTAGGAATTTGGAGGTTCAGAATCAATACCTGACGGTTATAGACCTGAGCCGGGAACCAGAATCTGCCAGTTTCAAGAGCAAGAAACCAAGACATGATTGAATCATCTGGCAAAGAACTCTGCTTATTACTCTCATCAACCTTTGATTTAATCCACCAAGATGCCCTAACAATTGATAAAATCCTCATCAAACCTTTTGGCTTCCCCTGTTTTACATGATTCGAATCCTTTCTTAAAGCTATGTACCATTGCCACTCTCTATAAGCAGCAGGACCAATAAGTCTACCCCACTTTTTTTTCATGTGTTTTTTCCAGAAATGATCACTAATACACCTACTTCTTAAAGAGCTGCAAACACCTGCCATACTACAAAGACCAGCAGGTGGTAGCCTTTCGAGAATGCCTTCTAAGACCAATTCTGGTAAGTCCAAAACTGACATGACGCCCTCCTCAACCTCGTCAAAGTTATCCACTTTTGAAGTGAAAGACATCTTTTTTAGAGACATTTTGGAAGGGATTGAGGTAAAATAACTAAGAGTAAGACTATTTTTTATCAACTTGGAAATGGAAAAAAGGGAAACGTTTTTCCAAAACCACGGAGACAATAATCTCATCTCAGTTGCCCATGGTGGAAGTGGTTTCAAAGTTAAGGACTTCAAAAAGAAGATGAAGGGAAAACAAGTGATTATGAAGTAAAGTAGCATTCCAAGAAATAGATAAAAGGTGAGTTCTTTTATGGGTCCAAATTCAATGATATAAGGCAAAAAAAAAAATAAATCAATGGAAGAACCCAATTGTCTCTCTTCTTCTCTTACCCTCCTTCCCTTCAAAAAAAGAAAAAAAAAACAAAGTGGAATCTTCAAAACACCAACAGGAAAGACCCAACTTGGATGAAAAAAAAAAAAAGGTTTTTTATTGGTTAATATCAAAGCCCACCAAACTCCAAGGAGGGCTTCCTTGTAAAGGACTAATAACAACCAGTACGAGAAGAATGGTTTTTTTTTTAACAAAGTTTGGTAAAAAAAAAAAGAGGGAAAGTTACCTCACATCCAATCCAAAACAAAACCCCCTACAGAAAGCTATAACAAGCACTACCATAACAAAGCTTCTTCCCTCTTCTTTTCCTTTTATCTTTTAAGAAAAGAACTCAACCGTACAGACAGCCGAAACAGCTGTCAAGTAATGAGAAGGAGATTTAGTGGATGCCCCAGCAACAGATGAATGAAAGACGATGGTGGTGGGGTTACTGAGATCTGTTTGGGTTTTGACACCTGGAAAATTATCCACCCAAAAGAATATTTGTTCGAAGATAACAAGTCTAGATACAAAGAACCATATCCATTAAATCTCTGAAAAAAAGTTTTCCTTTGTTTATAAAACAAAAAAAAAAAAACATAACATTAAAAATCTTTTCTTTTCCTTTTGCAGATAATAAGGTGAGAGAAAAAAACAAACAACAAATCTGGGTTGATTTGGGATTGAAAGAAAAGACACCAAAACACAGAAAGAGATTGAGAAATTTGATGATGAAGAAGAAGTGATGAACTCACCTTAGTCCATCAATTTTGGTCTTCTTCATCAAATCCTCCATCTCACTTTTTTTTTTTTTCTTGGTAATGAAATATGGGTAGGGGAGGCTAGAGCTAGAGGGAGACAATGAATGGGTGGTTAAGGTTGAAGGGATTAGTATATATTTTGTGTGGATATTAAAAAGAACAGTGAACTACAAAATTTTTATGAAAATTAATACTAAGTATTTTGTTTTTTGTCTTTGTTTTTACGAGTTTCTGACAAGTGGGACGAAAATCCGTGCAACCCAAAAAAGCTAACATTCGGATAATGTATAGAAGGAATCTTCAACCTAGAAGGTCTGGGATGTGTTCCAGTGGGCAGCCTACCTATTTTGTTTGGCACTTAGAACCGTTGATTTATCATTAATCTGCCAGTTGAAGATCGGAGATAATGATCTCATATTCTAGAAAAATTTTCCTCAATTTATATCAACTATCAGGGCGGAGCCCCATGAAGCCCAGCGGGGCTCATATAAAAAAATTTTAAAATTATGTTTTAAAATATTAAATAACCCAGTTTTTTTTTTGTTGAAATTAGTATTGATTTATAAAGGTCGTGACACAGTAGAAAGTATTTTTAGTAATAAATATTTAAAAAATGTTAGCAAAATTAAATGGAAGATTAATAATTTAATTATGTAGATTAAAAAATACGTGTTCAAAAGTATTTATAAAGATAATCATAAAATTTTTAGTAATCTTGATTGGATATAGAAAATTTAATTTTTTTAGTACCATTGTATTGTTATTATTTTTTTATAATTTATGAATTAAACCCGTTAAATAGAATTTTTTACTTTATCACTGTCAATTATGGATCCAATACTCAAGCTTCATTAAAAAAAAAACGCTAGTTGGATTTGTCATTGACCAATTTCACATTACCAGTAATGAAAGACAAAAGGAATTAAAGAAAATGGAGAAAGAAGGGAACAAAAATACAAGTTTAACACATTAATTTATGAATAAGCTTACAAATGAGTTTAAATAAATTTCTAGCAAAACAAATTTTTTTAACATTTGAATATGTAAGAATTTGAATTTAAATTTTGATTACAAAAATAAAAAATAAAATATTTTATCAACAAATCACATAATAAAAAAACTCACAAATGTCATAAAATTTTATTTACTAAATCGAAAGAACTTGATACTTTCAATTCTATTAAAAAATTATGAAATCAACTCCAACTCTCTTATTATTAGTTTAAGAAATACATGTAAGAACTCAAATCAAGTTTCAAATGATTGAAAATAAATATAATTTGTAAAAAATTTATTAACTTTTAGTGATAACCTCAGGCAAATAACAATAATTTGTGTTTTTTTAACGACAGCTGGATTTAATTATTAAAAATTTTCATCCCCACATAAGTGATTTTAAGTTCAAACCTCCTATGATTTTTTAATGTTATCCATTATATATAATAATAATAATAATAATAATAATAACAATAATAATAATAATCTTCAACATCTACCTCTAAGCTATAGGAGTTATAATGGCTTCGTTAAAACAAATATTCAATTACTGACCAATATTTTATTTTGAAAATTGAATCGATGTCAAACCGAATAAATATAAAAATTGAATTGATTTAGATTAAAATTTATTGATTTAAATTGATTTGATTTATTAATTTATAAATTTAAAGAATTTTTATTTTTAAATATTATTTTAAAATTTATTTACTTAAATTAATGAATAAAATATTTACAAATATAAAATATTATGATTTAGATAATTTTAAATTTTCACATTATGAATAAAAATAAAATTGAATCAAATAAACATCTTTACTATTCTATCTGAAATTAAACCAAAATTAAAATTAAAATTAAAATCAAATCAAATACTACTAATTAAAATAGATTTTTTAATTTTTTTTCATTTGCTTCTCAACTTTCTGAGCTTAAAGCCCAAAACTCAAATAACGTATTTATGTCCCATATTTTATGTTAAAAAAAGCAGTTGATAAGGAAATTAGGCAAGTGAAAAGCACAAGAGTAATTGAGTTTGCAGCCCGCTACTTAAATTCTAAAATTATATTTTCATATGATATAACCCGTTGCTTTGACACAAGGAAATGCACCTAAATTTTAGTTTATGGTGGACGGTACGTAGAAAGCACGGACCAATCATCATAAAGGTTAAGAAAAGGGTAGGGTCAGCTAAGGTGGCACCGGTAACTCAGAACCACTATTGATTGAGTCCACCAATTGGGGCAATTTCTATATCACAAGCTACTGAGCTAGCACGTGAACGTCACGTGCATGTTGCCCTTTTTTTTAATTTTTAATTTTATTTCCCTCGTCTTACTGCGATTTCCAATTTCGAAGGTACGTTATTTTTTTTTTAATGGAAGGAATTCTTTTATGGATATTACAAACAATAATATTTTATCGTGTTTGTGGTCAAAAATATTTGTTGTTTGGACAACATTTTTCATTCCAGGCATAATCCTGGCAAAATTGGTAAAGAAATTCTAAAAGGTTTGAAAAATTATCAACTACAAGAAAATGCATTTTTAATAATGGCAAAAATGTCAGCAAAAGAAAAAATTCAATCACTATAATTGTTATTGACTATTTTTCAGTCATCATTTGTTGTTATAAATAATTTTATTATTATTTTATTAGTATTAATTTTATAATTTTGTCATAATAATTAAAATTTTTTAACAATATTTTCGTCACATAAAATTAAAATCTCAATGTATGATATTAAATATTTTTATATGTCAAATTTATATTACTTACACATAATTTTTGTTAATTTTATCTTCTTACTTTTGAATTAAAATCATTTAACATATTCAAAATAATAAGTTTATCATCATTTTACTTGTTGCGTCTTGAATAAACTTGCTCATGGTTCAAGTCTGGTTCGTCTTTCAAAAGATTTGTTAGAACGTGGCTCTTCGGGCTTAGAGGTTTATAGTTTAAAAAAAAAAAAAAAAATTAAATTTTATTATTTTTAATTATTTTATTTTATTTTAAACTTAAAAAAAATAATATTCTGAGCCGAACTAAATTCATTCCGAGCTCAAAAAACCTCATTCAAAACTTGGCTTAAGTTGGACTGGACATTGACCCTTGGACAGGTCTGAAAGCTCGACTTAGCTATTTCAATTAATGGACTTATTTTCATTACACTCAAAAATAGCTATTTCAAACGAATCAAACCAATGCATATGAGAAACATTTTCCGTTAGTAATAATTTTTGCGTCTTATTATTTTCAATGTCTTTTTAGAATTTTTTAATAGTATTTTTATATAATTTTACTACATATGAAGGAACTCATAGATAGAAGAATTCAAACTTTAATTTTACTTTTTAACAGTAGTATAATTTATTGATAAAATATTAAATTTATAATTTCAATAACCAAAATTTAATTTTTTATAAAATTAAATATAAAAATAAATTTATTCTTTTTAAAAGAGATTAAAAGAAAATGCATATATTGAGAAGTCATTTTTTTTAAGGAGGAATAATTATTAATTTTAATAGATTGTTTAAAAATTTTTAATTTACTTTTTTTAATTATTAATTTTAATAGATCCGATAGATAAGATTATTATTATTATTTTTTATTTCTCTCTCATATTTTGGAGCTATTAAATGGTTAAATAAAAATATAAAATATAAAAATTTTATATTAATATAAAATGATCTTGGTTTTTTTAAATGAATCAAATATATCATACAAGTACTTTTCAATTTTCATCCTTTTAAATTAAAAAGTACATAATGCAAAATTTTCAAACAAAGTTTATTAGTATTTAGGGTTTGACCCTAAAAATAGGGCTGCTGTCTTTTAAATCAACCGAGTCTTTAGTTTTTTTTTTTTGTTTTTCGTAACGTTGAAAGTTTCATCTAATTTTGTAGGAGTTGATTACGGTTTTTCAACTCAATATTAAAAGAGTTGACCCAATATGAGTAAAAGGAGCGTAAAAGAAGAAAAAAAAAAAAAACCTCAAAACTAAGAGAAAGCTGAAGGGAAGTTGGATCTCAAAAGTAAAAAGTCAATCTACAGATAACGCGAATCTATCACCACACTTTTAATCGTGTAACGCTTTGGATTTTGCTAGCTACTGTTTTAGGATACTTAGTTAAGTTATTATTTATAAGCTAAAATCTGAAAAAAGTTTTCAGAATATTTTAAATAATTTAATTAAGTCTTTATATTATTATTTATTTAAATAAATCTTTTAAAATTATTTTTATTATTTAAGCTTTTTTATCATTAAATTAATAATATGTTAATATATTTTAAGATATATAAACAAAGACGTTATAAAAAAAATATATCTAGCATAAATTATATAAAAATGAGAAAGTTTCAAAAAAATATGGTCTAATAAAAATTTTTATTAATTGGTATAATAATCAGAATAATTAAAATATAATAAAATAATAATAATTAAAAAATAAAAATTATTAAAGTTAGTTTATCTAATAAGATCGTTTATCTTGATATTAAAAAATTTCCGTTTGCATTGAATCAAAATCATGAATTTCATCTTCTGACATTTCTTAAACTGTAAGTTAGGAATATTCTAGAAAGTGATTCGATTGTGTCTTCTGCAACGGGCTCAAAAATATTGAAACTTTCTCAATAATTTATCTACACTTTAATCACAAGTTGGAGCCACCCATTTACGAAGTTTTTATAAAAAAGAATAACGTCATAAGATTGGTGATTACATTTCATTTTGGGCAATGACAACATGCACAATTTTTGCTAACAAACTTACAAAGATAAAAAATATTTAATCATGTAACTTAAAGAATAATCTGGATCAAAGCCATATATTGATATATATATATATATATATATATATATATTTGTTGATATCATATAGGGAGTATTGGTAGGGTGGGAAAATAAAAAGAATTGGAGACCATCAGCTTTTTGGGCAAATGGTGTGTTGTCAATTATCATTCATAGGGGCTCTCTAGCTGGGAATCTTATCTTTGACCATACTTGATTCGGGAAAATCACACTTGCACTTTTATTGTATCATGAGAATTATTGTTGGGAAGCCGTAATTGCAACTGGGAATAAAGATAGTTAAATGTAGATGTGTCCAAAGGTTACGTTATAACAAGGTAGAACTGTTCATACTTCATGCTACCCGTCAAGCTTGGATGGCTTAAACAAGATTTTTCCAAACCCATGACATTAATCTATGAATGAAAATTTTCCATCACACTTGTTGCACCAAACTTTAGGTATTATTATTCATATCACTCGAGGACAATAATTCTCAATTCATTATCCAAGGTCCTAAGGTGCATTTTGCTTTTGAGTGGTGGTGTTTCAAATCTGCTTGTTCATTCCACACTCTTCTTCTCTCTCCCTAGATTATGAAGCAAATTTTAGCATAAAGATTTTTAACAAAAAAGTGTCTAATGTTGGATAATATCTGAGGTACTAGGCAAAATTTTTTTTATTTATAGAGTTTATTTTAATTG